CAGAACCGGACAGCGCCCTCCGGTCGCCCGCCGTCGCCGCCCCGGGACCCTCGCGGGCTCGCTGCACGCATGGCTGGGTACCTCACTCCCAGGGGCTTCCGAGACCTTTCGGGCGATTCTCCCCTTTCTCCCGCACAGACACACACTCTTCCCCCCTCGGCCGCCCCCGCCGGAACTTCCGTTCGAGTCCCGGGAACCCAGCCATCGCGCTGCCGGAAGTAGCCTGGCCAGCGGTACGGAACCCGGAAACGGGTCCGGGTTTCCCAGCTAGGAGCTGCCATGTTGTCCACAGTGGGACCACTCCCTGTGATGCGACGCTGCCACCTGCGGCGTCTGAACATGACATGCGATTCCCAGATGCCCTGCTGGTCAAGCCCTCCTGGTCGACCTGGGTCCTGGAGGAGAGGCATTCCATCAGTATTCTTTAGCATAAAGTTGGCCGTCTTCCCATCGCCATAGGGCAGGGCACACTTCCAGGTGTGGTCTTGGGTACTAACCACTGTTTGGTTTCATTAAGATACATTTTACTGTTTGTGTCTCCGGCGCAGTGTTGGATACAGATATAATAAAATGGTGACTGTAGTGGAACACTTGAGCATCCCAGAGCTTGGCTTCCCTCACAAAACTTGCCAATGCTTTTAACACCTCTTTCTCCTTGCTCATCTTTCTTCATGTTCATCCTCTCTACTGGTTTTCAAACCCTATTTCAGTTTCACAGGATCATGGATGCAGCCATACACCCTGACCTGAAAAGACCCGAGATCACATAGCCCTCCATGCTTATCTTTAAAGATGAGGAAGCTAACCCTTGGGGAGAGGAAGTAAATAAGTAGCAACCTGAAGATCACACTTGTAATCTGCCTTTCCTGCCGGGCTTCCTCAACCATAAAATGATAATAACCACCTGCTAGTTCGTAACTTTGCTGTTAAGAAGCTCCAATGAGGCCATGTAAACTTGCTTTGAACACTGTGAAATCACAGTGTGAGGCCTTAATCACTTGAAGGAGGACCCTGGGAAAGAATGTAGGCTGTATCAGGATACTCAACAGCATGGCAGTGTTGGCTTGACACTGTCCTTGCCGAGAGATGCCTTGCAGGTTGCACAAAATGCCACCAGCTGAGAACAAAAGGGCTTCATTTGATCGCCACTGAGTCACACTGGTGAAGTGGACATTGGGCTTGGAGTCCAGGCTGAGAGACAAGCTGAACTGAAGGACTGAATCCCTGAGAGAGCCAGTAGGGATCTGCAAACAGGAAATGAGTCACAGGGGTCCCTCAGCAACCGAGGGCTCATTCTCTCAGTTTAACCTACACTATTTTTTTCTGTGAACCCAAATCAATACAAGCTTGGAAGCTCAACAAAACACTTCCCTCCAGGCCAAGAAACAGCTTGTTCTTGAATTTAAATCAACAGGTCATGGAGATGGAACTTGGAATACTAGAATCAAAGGACCACAAGCAAGCCAAAGACCTGGAAGTGGCTATCACAAAAGTATCACAAAAGAGGATAAAAATAGAAGGAAAAGCAGGATGGTGGTGGCACACGCATGTAATCTCAGCACTCGGGAGGCAGAGGTAGGCGGATCTCTGTGAGTTCAAGGCCAGCCTGGTCTACAGAGCAAGTTCCAGGACAGCCAGGGCAACACAGAGAAACCCTGTCTCGAACTGACCCCACCCCCAAAAAAACATTACAATGCAGCTGCCCGCCCGGGAGAACCCTGCTGGGTTGGTTTGCGGCTGAAATGCAGCTCCTCCTGTAGATTTAGCACTTTGGCAAGTGACACTCAAACCCACAAGTCCAGTTCCAAGAGCTACATGTGAGCAGATATTCATGGAACCAGTGGGTTAGTGTGTTGAGGTGTTGGATGCTCTATGTGTATGATGTATATACTTGTTTTGTTAACATGTCAGAGAACATGTTCAGTTGTCTGTTCTCAGGACTTGCTATGTAAACCAGACAAGCCTTAAACTCAGAGAGGTGCCTACCTCTGCTTCCCAAGGACTGGAACTAAAGGCATGGACCATCATGCCCTGCAAACCTCATTTTGGGGACAGTCTGTTTTGCTATTGTATTGTGTACTCCAGTCAAGCTGGTCTGAGCACTTCCTGGGAAAATCTGTCATTTCTGCCTATCTCACTGGAATTAGAGATGTGCCATGGCCTCTGGCTTTTCAGCTGGGTTCTGGGTATCCCAACTAAGGTTGTCAGACTTGAGTAGCAAGCACTCTTACCCACTGAGCCATCTGCATAGCCCTGTTTTGAGGTTTTTAACTTTACATCCCCTTAATCCAAAAATTTTATCTTGGTGCTAGGAACCAAACCCAGGGCTCTGTACATGCTAGGCAAGTACTCTACCACTGAACTACATCCTCGCCCACTAGCCCTTCTGCTAGTCTTGAGTGGCCCACACAAAGCAGGCTGTGGCTGAGTAGATAACATTCATGCACTGTGTGCATTCTAGTTTATTTCAGAACTTTGATTCCCAACAAGGCTTCCAGTGGCAGACCTTCTGTCAAGAACCACATATCCTCCTTGACTGGGACGGTCATCCTGGAGTTCTCCAAGACCAGATCGAGCACTCATTCCCTTACCAACTCTCCTGAATGAAAAAACGGGGGTCTCAATGCTTTGTGACACTCAAGCCTCGTCCTCACATTGTTCGACACCTTCAGAATCTCTCCTGTGTTTAAAATTATGTTATGTGTATGGATGTTTTATCCACTTGTTTCACAGTACCAGGAGCACAGAAGAAAAGATGAACTTAAGTTTGACAAGAATTTATTAGGAAGATCATTAGTCACAGTGAATAAAAGCCATGAACAGAAGAAGCAGGGTCTCCAGATTCCAGCACTGAGTTTACAACACAAGTTAGAAGCAAGTAAACACCAAGGAGGTCCCAGGGGTAATCTCTAGTAAATCCCAATCTCACCCCAACCAGGTCACCCACACAGAAAACAACTCCATGTTCTCCTACCTGCTTGGCTAGACAGTGAGAGGAGCCCACCCCCAAGCAGTCATTTACCAGGAGACTCCTTCCTTTCCAGCCACCATCCTGGGACACTTGTATGTGACATGACACCAGCTGGGCACCCTGACACAAATGCTGAGCAATGACAGGGAGGAGGAGCAAGCAGGGACATGTGTTTCTAGTTGGAGATCTTCCTGATGGCTAACACAAACACAAAACTGAGTTTCAGGAGGATTCCTGCAGCCGAGGAAGCTTCCTTTTTTAAAGGACAAATCACACAAAAAACCTGCCACAAGCAACAAGACACTTGGGATCCCATGGTCACACTGACTGGAAAAGCAAATGTTATTCTTGACTTCCAGATGCCACCCAGCCTAAGCCCATTTCTGCAGTGCCTTAGAGAACAACTGCTCCTTGGCACTCACACTGCTCCTGGTGGTGAGGCAGTTTCCACAGGCCAGGTTCCTGCAACAACCAAGACAGAGCCTGGCCTGAGGCTATGGCAGGCAACTCTTGCTAGAGCCTCCTCAGTCCTTCCCAGCAGGTGGTTGTACATCTTCACTCACAGTGCATCTGAAGGAGCCTGGGCAGCCCTTAAGAAATGAAGTGTGTCTGTGGGGTGACCTGATGGACCCGGTGGTCTGCTGGGTTAGCCGATGCTTCGTAATTGCAGATGGTCACCTCATGCCGGCGAAGCTACAGGCGAAGGTAAAGCTGAGGTCAGTGGCCACTACGGAACCCTCCTTTCCCAGAGCACATACAATACAGCATTCCTGTCAGACTCCCATCCACATGTCCTCTCCGAGCCCTAGCTGCTGACACTTTAATCTTGAGAAACCAGCAAAGACCACTATCTACTATCAAGGATTCTCAGTAGCCAAGAAAATCCATGTGAGAACAGGAACTTGTCTAAGGAACGTACAATCTCTGATGCCCAGAACAAGAAACTGTCATAATATGTGATGGGGTGCAACCCATGGCCTCCAGCAGACTAAGTTGTCACTGAGCCACACCCACACCTTCTATCAAAATACTCATGAAAACTTGAAACTTCAAAACTGAACTGATAGAAATGCCCTTCATAGCCGGGCGGTGGTGGTGAACATCTTTAATCCCAGCACTCGGGAGAAAGAGGCAGGTGGATCTCTGTGAGTTCAAGGCCAGGTCTACAGAGCGAATTCCAGACAGGCTCCAAAGCTACAGAGAAACCCTGTCTTGAGAAAACAACAACAACAACAACAAAACAAAAAAGAAGAAGAAAAAACAAAAAAGAAAGAAATTCCCCTAATGCACTTGAAACCAATATAGTGGAAGGAGAGAAATGACTCCCGCAAGTTGTCCTGTGACCTACACATACTATAGCACACACATACTTATATCCATAGATACACAAATATATACGGAAAACAAAATACATGAATTAGAAAAAGAAAAAACTGGGCTGGAGAGATGGCTCAGCGGTTAAGAGCACTGACTGTTCTTCCAGAGGTCTTGAGTTCAATTCCCAGCAACCACATGGTGGCTCACAACCACCTTGAATAAGATCTAGTGCCCTCTGCTGGCATGCAGGCAGAAGACTATATAGACAGTATACATAATAAATAAAATCTTAAAAAAAAAAAAAAAGAAAAGAAAAGAAAAGAAAAAGAAAAAACTCGGATCTATCCAATGAAGAAAATTACTATGATGAAATCAAGAAAAATTAAGAAGCCAGGCACTCAGGAGGCAGAGGCAGGTGGATCTCTGTGAGACCCATGCAAGCCTGGTCTACAGAGCGAGTTCTAGGCCAGCTATGGCTATATAGTGAAAGCCTGTCTGAAAGCAAAGCAAACAAAAAAGAAAGAAAAATCATAAACAGATGTAACAACCAACACTTTGCTTACTCTTTTCTGTGGAGCTCCTGCCCCGTGGGGTGGGCGCAGACACACATTTAACATTTATCAACCCCGCTTACCTCAGTCCACTCTCCTCTCAGGCCAATATACAAGATCTTTGTGGTATCTGCTCCAAAGTTTTTTGAAATATGAATAGAAAGATGATAGACATTTGAAAACCGGGAAATTCTAAAGGATAAAAAAGGAAGGGAGAGAAGACACAGTTTACCATGTGGTATGCATCCCACCACCAGGGAAGACAACAGTTCAGACCCAACTTGCAGGTAAATATCAAAGGACACCTGGTCCTTCACGCCAGTTTCCTTCGGAGCAGCACTTTATGCTGTGAACACTTACTAGGTATCTGCCAGAACTTGTCTAAGGCAGTAAGGAAGAACAGCCCAGCCAGGGATATGTGACAAAACTGTCTCCAAAAAAAAAAAAAGAAAGAAAGAAAGAAAAGAAAAGGAAGGAAGGAAGGAAGGAAGGAAGGAAGGAAGGAAAGAAAGAAAGAAAGAAAGAAAGAAAGAAAGAAAGAAAGAGAACATACAATGCTCCTAATTTCAAGAAACAGTAATGATAT